TTCTCTCCGTCCCATTCTTGCTTCAAATGCCGGAGTAAAGCCTCGCTGTTCAACTTTAAAACTTGAAAACGGATTGACACAATGCTTAATTCAAAAACGGAAAGTAGTCGTAAGAGGGGGAAGGAAGAACTACAACAGCAACAGCAGCATTTAATGTGTCACTAAATCCTGTAACTCTGCGTCATACCTTGCTACACTTCCTGTGGCAGTGCTGAACCTCCAACTGCTGGGCATTAATTCCTCACACAGGGCTGAAGTTTGGAGTAACGCCTATTCTGCCACACTGTCTTATTTCTACAACGTGACGACATAAAAGAAAATTTGCTCCTCGCCCCCAATCTGATTTTGTTTGTTTTTCATTCCATGTAATTAGAAACGGAGGTATGTAATAATATAATATCACTTTTTAGTCTCATGCAACAGTTCTCTGTACGCAATAATTTTTTGTACTAATATTTCGTATCCAATACATTTCACTTTAACATTTTGACCCACATGTATGTCTTAGTCTGTGTTACTTTATTCCTTTCTAGATGCTTAAAGTTTTATTATTTAGGTCTTTTTATAATTATTTAGGTCAAAACCTAATTTTGCTCGAAATATATTTTCCCTTCAGTGCAGGGCTCTAGAGAATGCAGTTCATAACGCTGTCCTGTTTAAATAAAAACTGCAAATAAGACTGTTTGATATGGCTGCGTCAGCCGAACCACCTGTCGCCAAATACACGGCCAATTGCATATAAAGTAATGCGCCTTCATGCCCCCTCCCTTAATTTTGCGGTGTTTCCGTTATCTGTTATCCCTCTCCCCAGACTTTTTTTGTTATGCTCAATAAAACTCAATTGTTACGAGACACACATCCATACTCATTCTTTAATCCTTCATGACCAGAGGAGCATTTCAAGCCAAGCCACTCTCCAATGCCTCTTAAAATTCCATGAGGAGTGTTTAAGAGGAAAACCACCAAATACCCGAGTACCATTGAATGTATGCTATCCACGTAAAGATGGATTTCTTGTCATGCCCGCGGGCACGTTTTATGTCAAAGTCGAAGCCAGAACAGACGCGAAGCCGATATCTGTTCGTGTGACATTTAATC